TTGTTCCAATAAAAATGCAGGGAGGACATGGTCTCCATTCAACACTCTCTTCCCACTCCAGAAAGTTCATTGGCATTCTTAATGGTATTGATACTGATGCATGGAATCCTGCCACTGATGAATTTCTTCCAGTCCAGTACAATGCAACTGATCTGCACGGGAAAGTAGAGAATAAGCAAGCCTTGAGAAGGAAACTAGGTCTTTCATCTGCAGATATTAGGAGGCCATTGGTAATTGGTAGAATATTAAATGGTAGTTGGTAGAATATTAAATGTTTTACTGGAAGGTACTAGAAGTTGTTATAGGTTTTTAGAAGATTATAGAGATCTCTTTGTAATTATTACTGTAGGGTTAAGTTCTCTATTTATAGAGACCGCTGTACTGTTTAAAATTAATCAATTTGAATAACAATCTTCTTTCAAGTTGGTACTAGAGCTCCGAACTTGTAATTGAAATTTGATATACAGGTCTGGGTTGCACAGGAAATGCCATTTCTCTGAAACCTGCTCTGCAATTTACCGAAGGCTTTTGCCCTTCGGTAAATGCCCACTGTTGGTCATTACCGAAGGCTTCTGCCCTTCGGTAAATACCCTCGTTTGGTCATTACCGAAGGCTTTTGACCCTCGGTAATTACCGAAGGCTTTTGGCCCTCGGTAATTACCGAAGGGCGAAAGCCCTCGGTAATTGTTAGCGACAAGGGATTTACCGAAGGATTTTTGGCCGTCGATTAGCCTTCGGTAAACACCCATTATCGACGGCCTGTGGCTTTTACCGAAGGCTTCTGGCCTTCGGTAATGCCCTACTTTTTTGTAGTGCACGATTGCTAAGTTGATAAAAATGCGAGTAAAGGAAAAATCAGTTTTATACATATTGTATCGAGTTATGGATGAGTTTGACTTTGAGGAGATAGCAAACGCTACATCTTCAAAAGAATCGTGGGAGATCCTAGAAAAGGCATATAATGGGATGACCGAGTTAAGAAAATTTGGCTTCAAAGTCTCAAAGGAAAGTTTGAAAGTTTGAGAATGGAAGAGAGAGAACAAGTAGTCGAGTACATAACATAGGTGAAGACCATGGCAAATCAACTTAGCAAAAATGGAGAATTGTTTCCTGCCAGTTGGGTTATGGAGAAGATTCTAAGGCCATTAATAGATGACTTTAAGAACATAGTTTGCACCATCGAGAAGTTTAAGGATTTGTCAACGTTATCAATTAAAGAGCTTGTGGGATCGTTTGAGGCGAACAAACAATAGAAGGGAGGAACTCGAAACACTCAAAGTCAAGGTTCTTGTGGAAGAGGCCCAGATAGTCGAAGATTAGGAGGACAAGAGAGAGGTTGAGGAGGTCAGTCAAGTAACTTTGGAGTTCAATGTTTTAAGTGTGGCAAGCACAACCATTACGCAAATAAGTGCAAATCGGCAAAATGCTATAATTGTGGTAAGGTCGGTCACATTGCAAAGTACTAAGAGAAAGAAGGAGAAAAATTTCCTTACTAAAGAAGCTAATGAAGAAATAGGAATTTTGATTATGTCAAGGAGCTCGGACATCGAGCTACCAAGCTGGAGACCAGAAGATGAGTTGCGTTCGGGTTGTATGATATCAAGGAGATTGGATGCCCAACTGAGTCCAAGTTGTATGATATCAAAGAGATCAAAAGCTGAGTAATGTTCGAACGAGAGATCAGATGTCGAGCTTAGTCTGAGGTATTCAAACAACTCAGTTTGGTATCTGGATATATAGGCGAGTAACCATATGTGCAGGAATGAGAGTCTATTTAAAGATCTCTCCAAGGTTGAGGTCGAACACATATCATTTGGATATGACTCTCAAATGACAGTAAAAGGGCACGAGGAACAATTCAGTATTTATAGAAGAATGGTCGAGTTAGAGAGATAAGAAACGTGTACTATGTACCTAATTTCAAAAGTAATATATTGATTATAGGCCAAATGATGGAGAAGAGCAACTTGATTCTGATGAAGGATCGAGTACTATACTTAAAAGACAAACTCAGTCGCTTGATTGCTCGAGTAGAAATGAAAAAGAATAAAATGAATAAATTAGAGTTGAACATACTATAAAACAAGTGTGTGTCGCTTAATGTAAAGGATGAAGTCATGGTCTGGCATTTTTGTTTTGGTCATTTAAACTTTGGTGGGCTGGCCACTCTGTTGAAGAAAGAATCGGTGCATAGACTACCGAGTATGGAGTTTGATAAAAAAAATTGTGATGAATGTGTACTTGGAAAACATCCAAGGACAGGGTTTCCAAAGACAACTGAGTGTCAATCGGAGATATATAGCTCTTATGTAAGTAGAAGAGCTTCAATATCTTCTATTGTATAAGGATTCAACCATGAAGTTACTGATGTGATAAATCCATCATAGTCGTTAGAAAGACCGTCAAGTATAACATCTATATGATCTTCAGTGGATACAGAGGTGCCAATAATAGTTAATGAATCCACAATTTTCTTGATACCTCACAAATAGGTGAAAACATTGTCAAGAAAATCTGAGCATAAGATTTCGGACTAACCATATATTGATTAAAATTGGTGTGGTCATTAACTTGAGAAGACATGCAGCAATTATCTGATCTTGGTGAAAGAAGTTGGTGAATTTTGGATTTATAGTGTTGGAGAATTCATCTGCAAGTGTAAGGAATTTTAAAGGAATAAAGAACCATCAAGAAATGATATAAGTTTAAAGCCACTAATAGTTGCCGAAACTTGTTGCCATAAGAGAAAATTTTCGTCATCAAGTTTCATGGAGATAAGAGTTTGAAAGGTGTGGGGAAGAACATTTGAGATGGGTGAGGAAACAATCTGAGATGTAGCAGAGGGAGATAAGGCCATAGTAGTGCACTACAAAAGAATTGTGAGTTACCTACATATAGTTACACATGGATTTGGATTGATGAGTAAAGTGGATATTACATACACAAATTTTACCTACGAATACTTAAAGTTGAGTTACATAATTATTTTTTCGTAATTAATACAAAAAATATTTTTCACTAATTTTTCGTATATAAAATCCATGTGTACAGTTGGCGCGTGAGAGCGAAAACTTTTGCGAAGGATATTATCTATAGGTAATAATGTAGGTTACTAGATAAGTAAAAAAAAGTATTACCTATTGATTTTACATACGGATTTGGAAATAATTAATTATTAAAAATTAAAACTAAAGTTTAACGCTCTTCACTCTCTCGAAATTTTTCGCACTCACGGTAACTCACTCGAAATGGAAAAAAGAGACTCACTCTCAAAAATAAAAAGGTCACTCTCTCGAACAACCTCACATCTTGGAGAAGAGGAAGAAAGTCTCACATTCATATCCAGCCTAATCTTGGTTTATTATCCATTGTCCACACCCACACAACGAACCATCTTTCCATAGACGACGTCAACACCATAGCCTCCATCGTGTTGCCTCCTCTACGTTGGTCCACCTGTTTCCTCTTCCTCCACTTGTTGACTTCTGGACCTCTCATCCTACGAACAAGAAACCTTTGTATAGCTCTAAAATTGGAAGTTTGATAGGCTGCTAAATTGAAAAGATATGAAACCTAAGATCCCAAAACTCAAACCTGAATTATTTATTTTGTACTCAAACCCTAGCGTTTATTCTCTATTCATCTTTATCATCCATAAGCCTCAACAATAGGAGTCGTCATTGTGTACTACCATTTGGCCAAAGTGATTGTTGTCGACACTGATTGTGATCAGAGCGTTCGTTGTCATTGCTTATGGTTCTCTATCATCCGTCTTCTTCATCAGAGACATGAAGGGTTTCTCCCTTTTTTCCTTCCCTTCTACCTCGTATCATCCTTCCCCTGTTTCTGATTTGTATTGCAAGTAATGAATTGAGGGATGGTATTCCTGGGTTGATGGTTGTGGATTGGTTATGTGCGTCCAAGGAAAAGTGAAAGTGATGGTGTTAAGAGTTGTGAAGATGGCTATGAAGAAAAAAATGGGTTGAGGTATGGCAAAGATTGACATCATAACAGTCATAAAAGCTCATCATCCTCACAAACAACTTGGCAAGCATCATAAGAGCTTGGTTAGCAATATATGACAGCTCGACAATTAACAAGAAAGCTCAACTAACATTATAACTAGCCCGACATGCAGCATGGAAGTTCAATAGGGAGCTGAAGAGCTCAATTGATAGTATAACCAATTCGACAATCAACATGAAAGTTTGGCGGACATTATTTATATATTTTAAAACAAGAAAACTAAAGTTGAGTTTATCTATGGACTCTTGTTGTAAGTACTTAGAGTGATTGTCATAATAATTTTTGGATTTTTAACATTGTTAAACATATTTACAAATATTGTATGTTTAAATTATTTGTTTCAATGATTATTTTTAAACGTTATATAAATTCTTGCAATGTTGTAATTTTATGAACTTTTATGAAAAACTTGAATATGCAAGATTGCATAAGCGTTGAAAAAATAACTATTATTTTTAAAGCTAACAAACAAATTACATACGAATTTATTTTTAAATAATGTTAATTATGATTGATTTACCTATCGATTTTCATTGTAAATAAATTTGTTTTACTACTTTTACAATAAGTAATAGTAATTTTTGTTGTAACGATAACTCTTAATATAAATAGACTAAAGAAGAAAGAACCAAAAAAATATTATTCACTTAAAAATTGATAAAAAAGCATACTACTATGCATGAGATACAATAACGTATATATAGAAAATACAGTGTCAACACCAAATTTTGTCCGGGTTGAAAAAATGTGTTTTTATGGTTTTTTATTTTATTTTTATTTACCTTTTTGTTTTATTCTATTTTTATGTATTTAGTTTTTTGCTTTTAATTTTTTCTATTTTATTTCTTATTTTCAATTTGTTTTAATAGTGTTAATTAATCAAAATAA